CCTAAGAAATAGTTTTAGGAGGGAGGGCACTAGCAGCTGGAGGAAATCAGAAAAGGTTTCACGCAAAAAGTGGCACTTGAGATGAATTTTGAAGGAAACCAGGTATTCCAGGAGGCAAAGGTGAGGAGGGGGTGCATCTAAGTACATGCAATAGCCAGTGCAAATGCATGGAGTCAGGAGATAGAGGGTTGTGTGTTGGGAACAGCAAGAAGAAAAGTATGGTTGGACCAGACTGAAGAATACATGGAAGAGAGTGTAAAAAACCTGGAAAGGTAGGAAGGAAGTTGGTTGTTAAGAGTTTAAAATATCAAACAGAGGAGTTTATGGTTGATCTAAAGTAGACGATGTCTGGCACATAGTAAGCCATTAACAAATGCTTGACTTGTTCCTAGAAGTAAGAGAAATACAGTAGTGTTTGTTGAGTGGGGATTTATGGGATTATAAATTTAAAGGTAAAAGGGACTTGAAAGGTCATTGAGTCTAAACCTCTCTTTTAACAGATGAGGAAACGGGGGCTAGCAAAGGTTAAATGATTTACTTGAGGTCAAAGCTAATAAATGCTTCAGGCAGAATTCAAACCCATGACTTCTGAGTCCAATTTCAGCATTCTAGCAATTTTGTCACAAAGAGCCAGTTTACATTTTAGGAAAATAACTTTGGTATTTTGAGACTGTGTGGAGTACGATTGGAATGGGTAGAGATTTAAGGCAGAAAGACAAAATAGGAGGGTATTGTGATAGTCCACATAGGAGGTGATGAGGGCCTGAATGAAGTAGAAGATGTGTGAGTGAAGGGAGGTGAACATATGTGAGAAATGTTGTGGAGATAGAAATGATAAGACTTTAAAAAAGAAATGGAAATGTGTATTGAGTCAGAGTGTAGGGTGAAGAAGTTAAGAACCAGAGTCACTGGAAGGATGGTGGTGCTCTCAAAAGTAATAGGAGTACTAAGAAAAGGTGTGGGTTTGGAGGAAAAGATAATGAGTTCTGTTTTGAACATGCTGAGTTTGAGATGCCTATAAGGATTCCCATTTGCAATGTCCAGTAGGAAGTTGTAATACATGATTGGAACTCAGATTAGGGACTAGGGTTAGATCAAAAGTTGGATCAACTAGGATTGAATCAAAGACACATCTGCACAGAGATGGCAATATGAGATAAGGTTGGAAAAGTATATTGGATCTAACAGAGGCTTTTATATATCACCTAAAGGACTTAGTGATAAAAATGGTTGCTGTTGTCTTTAGAATGGAAATGTTGCATTGTGTGAAGAAAGTATTATTTGTCCTCCTCTGAATTTTTGCTAGCTAATACCGTCTCATTCAGAGGTAGTTGGTAAATGCTTAACAACTAGATCATAGGTTAGGGGGGATGTACAGTGGACTGGACATATTTTTTACATTTAATCTGTATTATTAATATTTTCTCCATCATTTTATTAAGTCTAGACAATTAAAAAAACAATAAATTAAGCACAATTTGTAGCATTTTACAGTTCCCAAGGCGTAAATATACTGAAAATTTGACAATCGGCTCTTGGGAGCCAGTTTGAACCAGTTCCAGAATACTAGGCCTTAATCTCTTACACACCTGATAGCTGCTAGGTCTCTGTCGATTGAGTGCTTTGAACGATTCCTGGTTGAACCAATCATTCATAAGGACTAATTCTCAGCTGACATTTCTCTTATTTAGCCACCTGTGCACTGTTTACCCACCTATAAATACATTGACTTTCACTTTTTTATTGCATTTACAAGGTGGGGTTTGGCTTTAATCTTAAATGCCTTCTACCTTTGCACTGTCTCCAGTCCAAATTCCACTTTATTTCATGCTATCGTGTCATTTACTCTCTATGCAAAGAGAAATATGGCATTGTGGATAGAAAGCTGGCTTCAAAACCAGAAATAAATTATGGAAAAAGTATTTATTTTAAGCACTTACTATATGCAAAGCATTGTAATAGGCAGTGAAGGTACAGATAAAAGTCCCTCCTCTCAAGGAAACCATGTTTTAATAGGGTAAATAACTACCCATTTCAGTTGAAAGTCAGAAGGAAAGGTATGATGGTCCTTATGGGGAAATAAATAGCAAAGTAGGTGGTAATGCTTCTTGTTTAGCTTCACTTATATTAATAAAAATTTTTCAATTTTTCTGACATTGAACCATTTGACAGCATCAAGGACTTTGATAGTGAGAACTTTCTTTTCTGGGTTCAAGAAAGACCTAACTTCAAGTCCCACCTCTAACATATTGGCTGTGTGACCCTGGGCAGGTAAGTTAACTTCTTGGTGCTCTGAGTAACTTTCTAAGACTTCACGGTTCATAGAATGTATAGATTTGCATTAAGTAGAGGAAATTTCCTCATGTGGAAATTTCCTAAATCAAGGATCTCAATGTCTAGTCCCTATCCCCTTCAATTACATAACAGCTAGAATGAGATCATTTAATAATTGTCCCCCTTAGAGATGGGACTGACTACACACTGAAAACAAGAACAGGTATTGTGGTTTTTTTTTCCAGGTATGTTTACCAGCAAAATCATTTCCCAGTCTATGGATGCAAGTCAGTAATATCCATGAAGCATCACCTTAATACCTAATCTACATTATTTTAAAGAAAGCTTGTAAAGGGAATCAATAAGCTCTGAAACAAATTTTATTTGAAAGGTGATTCTGTGCTTTATTTTCATAAAAAGATAGAATTTTGGAGTTGAAAAGGACCTCATCAAACATGTAGTCTATATTTAGTATTTGAGTAGGATATTCCTCTTAAAATAGCCCTGAAAATTGTCATCCAACAGTCACCCAAAGACCTCTGAGTCTTTTTCTCCCCTCACCTATCTCCCTAACCTCCTTCCCTGACTCTCTTCCCTATCCTCTCTTCCTTTTGTCCCTCACCTACCTACTTCCTCCTCTGTGTTTTTCCTCCCCATTCTCTGTCCTTCCTCTTTCCTCTCCTTGTCCCTTTCCTGCCTCATCCTGTTTTTCTCCTGCCTCCTCACTTTCCTCTCTGTCTCTCTCACCTTCTACTCAACTGGTCACCTTCCTCATGTCTTTGCTTGTATTTGTCCTCTCTGACCCAGCTGATTGCCTTTCTCCACCCAATCACTGAAACCAGCAATTTGAGTCACTGCCAGTTCTAGGGTATACAATGGGCACCTCAACCATCAATGTCATACAGGGACAGGAGTCTGTGGTGGCTAAAGAGCCCTCTAGGTTTTATAACAACAATGGTGACCATGTCTGAAGTTTCTCAGACCCTGACCATAAGTAGGTGACAATTTACAACCAAAGATATTTTGAGAACATTCCCAAGAGTGAATTTGAACTGAGAAGGTTGTACCTATGGAGGGATCCAGCCGCAGAAACCTAGGGGCTCTGGGGCAATCATCCCCTCATTCAACACGTAGAGGCTATCACAACCCCATAGAAAATATTCAGCACTTACACCCCAACGTAGGTAGAGTCCTGGATCCTAGATTACTTCTTCAGAGACACTCTTCGTGGGTATAGCTTTTTCACCTGGTGTTTCCTGAGGTGGTTGTTCTCAGTCCAGGAAGGGATGGGAACTGGGCAAAATGGTCCCCAACTCCTCAACTGCCTAAGGTGGAGGGCAGGGAGAAGGAAGGTATCTCACCTGCTCCTTTTTTTTTTTTAAGAAGACAAAGATAATGTTAAAAAAAAAATAATTTCCAGTGACAAGGAGATCACTGTCTCCTAAAGTAACCCATTCACAGAGAACTTGTCCCTCTAAGTTTGGGAAGTTAGGTAAGGAGGATGATATTCAGAGGGAAATTCAGAGGGGTTCAGAGGGAAATGAGTGAGGCCCAGATAAGGAGGTAGAACACCTGGTCCTTGGGGCAAGTGAACATGCTAAAGATGAGAACCTAGAGGCAGGCAGGCCGGATGGATCTCAAGGGCACACATGCCCTCCTGCAAAACTTGCTTTTTAGTCTTATGTCCCCAGAACTACTGTCATTTCTTTTTGTAGCTAGGCTGCCAGATTGGAATTTCAAAGAATTGTATCCCCTTCTTGGCTTTGACCTTAACTTGTTCTATGACTGTGAGAAAGTTTCTTAGCCCGTGTTTCTTTTCCTAGCTGTAAACGAAGATAAAAATTCCGCAAATAGATAAAATCCACACAGTCTACTGAGAGAAGAGAACTACTAAACACAATCTTGCTTCTTTCCTTGAGGCTTCTCCAAATGTGACATCAGAGGAAAAAACAAAAGTTGTCAAACTACTGGTAGGTAGCAAGTCTCATGTCAATACCTGAACATGGAAGGATTTCCCTTTGTGGCTGTACCAGGGGGCAAATTGAACTTGGACTTCTTTCTCCTCCTTTATCATAAGTACCGTTTTAGAATACAGTACAAACAAACTGTCATTGTTCCATAATGCTACTGGGCTCTGGTCCATCACATTTGTAGTACTATGTTCCCTCTGACCTGCATTTCTTGTATTGCCTCAGACGATTTGCTTGACATGGTGGAAGAGTTAGTTTTTATTGCCATGGCATTACACAATGTACTGAAATGAAAGAGCTCACCCCCCACCTGGTGCTTCAGGGGAGATCTGAAGGCCCCCAAAAAGCATGCCATAAAGAATACTTTTTGAACAGAATTACAAAGAGTAAAGCTGAGGGCTAAGTTTGGGCAATTTTTAATTTAAATTAAATTAAATTAAAGGGCTAGAATGACTGAAACATTTATTTAGAAGCTCCTCCATTTAGTTCTTACATAATGTTTTTAAAGCAATCTGGTAACTCTCAGGACATATTTAAAGCAATATGGTAACTCAATCACTAAAGGTAACGAGTTAATTGAAGTGATTGTTCAGGATTTAGGGGTGGGGAACCTGCAGCCTCAAGACCACATGTGATCCTCTAGGTCCTTAAGTGTGGTCCTTTGACTGAATCCAAAATTGTTCTGTGAAGTTTGGATTCGGTCAAAGGGCTGCACTTGAGGGCTGAGAGGCCACATGTGGCCTCAAGGGTACAGGTTCCCCACCCCTGGCTCAGGTAATACACGTGAAGCTTGGGTTCTTAGTAAAACAGCTATAAAAAGGCATATTCCACAGACATTTTGGGATTACTATGGAATGGGCCTTAGATAGAGTTTTGCTTTCACCAAAGCCACTGTCACTATGAATTAACTTTGCTGCCAAGGGCATTGCAATATGTTTAATTCTTTGACTCTTGAAATATACATATCTGGCAAAGAAGTAGCATCAGTGAACAGTGGAAAAAAGTATGACCAGGCCTAGGTTCAACTGCTTTTGGTCTCAGTTTTCTCATCTGTAAAATGATGACTAGATTATCTTTGAGGTACCTTCCATATCTATAATCCTATGTTTTTCCTCTGTCTGAACCACTTCCTTGCTTGAGGAAACCAATTGCTTTTGGGAAACCTACTTAGGTGGATCCCAGTTGAGAGAAATGATTGCTTGTCTCTTATATTAACAACCAATTATTAAATTAGGATTAAGGCTTTTCCCTTCTATTTCCTCACTCAAAGCCCACCTTCTCAAGGACATTTCTGACCTTGCCCCCTAATTTGCCCCATCTTAATCTAGGTGTAATACTTACTCCACCATCTTTCATTGTTGGTTGACTGGTTGGAGGATAGATCCTTTTGTAGCTTGCCTGAGGTGGAATGGTCTAACTTGAGAGTTAAGAGTGACATAAATAAAGGTCACATTCCCTAGCCCCTCATTATAATAAGACCACCTCTCATTATAATATTCATTCTCTTATTAATTGTTAACCAATCAGAGTTGATTTCCACCTGTCAGGATATAAGGACATAAGGTGTGAACAGCCTCCATGATTTGTCTTTGGTTTATGAAAGTCAAATGACCATCTTTTTATTATTTGCTAGCCATAATTAATAAAATGATTGTCAATTACCCATAAATTATGTTTCTCAGACTTTTCATTCATCACACAGTGCTTAGAGTCTCCATTATCCATGATTTGTTTTCCTAGATCTCACTATCTTTTCCCTGGAGCCCTAACACCGGAATACACACTCTCTCCTCTTCCCTATCAACAAATATATTCTTTTCTTATCATTTTCTCATTTCTTTTCCTGAACTGTTTTATTGGATTTCAGTAATTAATGACTGCTTTTGATAGAAACATGTTACCCACTAGAAATTTAGCCTAAAAAGGGATTGGATTCTTCAAAATCATGTCACTATGCAGTAAAATGGTCAAAACCACATTTGAAGATGCCAAATGAAATCATATGAAGCAGCTCATACACAATTATACATGCATGCTATGACTGAAGCAGGCATTAGGATAAGTGTTAGATTGAAGAAGAAAACTGGGCTTCTACCAAAGGAAAGCTATTTTGACCTTCTAATACCTCTGCCCACTCCTACTGGCTTTGGCCAGCCTGCTGGCAAATCCCCAGAAATGACCTTCCACACTTCTTCTGTATCTTAGGTGAAATAGTTCCCCACATCTTGAATGCACTGCCTCTTCTCTTACATCTCTTAGATTTCCTTGCTTCCTTCACATCAGAGGTCATGAGCCTTTTTCTGCTTCTCTTCCAGGTATTAATATTCTTTCCATCTTGAAATTACTTTGTGTCTACTTCATATTTACTTGTGGACATAGTCCATCTCTTCTGCCAGGGTATGAATGTAAGCTACTGGAGGGCAGGAATAGTTCCATTTTTGTCTTTATATCTTCATTACCCAGTATGGTGTCTTGTGCATAGTGGGCGCTTTATAAATGTCTGTTGTAAATTGCATTGAAATTAGTTGCTCTGCCTCCTTGGTTAGGCCATTCGTACTTCATAATAGGCTTTGTCCTTTTCTGAGTAAAACATAGATAATGTTAAACAATTATGTACAGGGCATTGTGCTAAGTGCTAGATACACAGAGATGAAAACAACACAGTCCCTGGCCCTTAAGGAATCAACAATCTAATGGAAAAAATAGGATATAATTAAGTACAATATAATGTGACATGGTGAAGGTGAAACCTAGGCAAGCTGCTCCAGGAAAACTCTGAAGATGGGAAGATCACTTTCAAGAATGGGTGGAAGTTGCAAAGCAAAAGTGTTTTCTGAGCAGGAGCTTGAAGGAATACATGGATTTTGAAACGCTAGCAGGCTTCCAAGAATAGAGAACAGCCTATAGAAGGCGGCAGGGTGGGGGTGGGGTGGGAGGGAATAGGGAATGACCACATCAGGGAGCAGGTAACACTGAAATTTGCTTAGAATCTAGAATGTGGGAGAGAGAGTAGCATTAAAGTAAGGCTGGAAAGGTAGGCCGGAGGCACATCACAGAGGGCCATAAAATGCCAGACTGAGTTGAAATGTTCTTCTAAAATTTTTATGGAGTTTGTTGGTTTAAAAAAAAAATTATGAAAACAGTGAGTGATCTTGACATAGATGTGGTGGGGTTTTAATTTGCAAGGGTCCCTTCAATTAAAATAAAACAGTTCCATCCCACTGGGAGAACCTGTTAGCAGAGCTCTAGAGACCTTGGCACCAGGGCGTAGTCCTCAAATCCACCTTCCTTCCCTTCGATTGCCATTCCTTACAGTTTTCCCCAATTTCTCTATTATTCTGATAACACCTTTTGTACTCTCTCTTTTTTTGTGTCCCTCTCTGAAAGAGTTCACCCCTCAATATGGTTGATATCCCGTGTCAGTTATTTTCAGGTTAGGGCAGGAAATAGTTGTTTAATTTCACTTCCTCCACACCCAGTTTTTCCCCCCCCCACCACCATTTCCACCCCCAAAAAACAAATATTCATCTGGTAACTATCCTACTTCTGCCACTCCGCTTACTGGATGATGACTGGGCAAGCCCTCATTTCCTCATCAGCAAAATGAGAAGGTTGACCTAGAATGATCTTTTAGGTCCCTTCCAGCTCAATTTTACGAAGCTATTTCAACATCCAGAACGAATCTCCCCTTTCTCCTCGTAACCTTCCCCTCCCCCCCTTAATTAATGTTTTCCTTTTCTCCTCCCCACCTTTATTCCACGCCTTCTCGATGACCCACTCTCTCCCACAGACTTTCCTTCACCCATATCCGCCAACCTCCCTTCTACAAAGCCCTCCCAAACTGTCAATTTCAGGTGCTCAAACTGCGGCCAGCTGGGGGGGGGGAAGGGAAACAGAGGATCCTGAAGCAGCGCTGCAATTGGTCACTGTCAGTAAGGCCATAGACCTGTGCCCTCGTCCGATTGGAAGCCGCTCCAGCCACTCGAAAATAGGGGCGGAGTCTTGGTGAAAGGGGATGAATGAAGTCAAAGTGGGCAAAGGGGGAGGCGGTCAGAAAGTGTAGTAGCAGCCTGCAGCCGGTGGCTGAAAAGATACGCGACAGATGCGGTAAGTGGGGAGGACTCTGGGATCCTGATGGTGGAGGACCACGCCCCGGGGGCAGCGTCCTTCAGATTAATTGGGGCTAATCTAGTCCCCCCCCTCTTATAAAGAAATTGGGCGGGTAACCACCTGAAATAGGTTGGGGACTGAGAAAGAGGACACTTTGCCACCACCCGAGATTATCTCGAGGACAAAACAGCTCTAATTGTGAGAGGAGAGATATAGGGACTGCGTTTCTGCCAGGGATTGTATTGCCACGTGAAATGGAGAGAGCATTTGAGAGTGGGAGATGTGCAAATCATTCTGGTTCAGGGAAGGGTGTGTCAGCTCTATGGACTTTTAGGGGAAATACCCAACTCTCCATAACATTTTCTCACCTCAGTCCACGAATAAGTGTGAAATGCAGTGTATCTTATTTCCCTCATATGCCTCTACGCTGGAGGCTGTATATGTCTCTTTTGATTCTCTCCATTCTTCTGTCTTTTGGGAGGCGGGGGTGGGGGGAAGGTGGAGGTGGCGTGGAGTGCGGAGGGAGCTAGAAGGATTGCTGGAAACTGACCTGAGTTTACTGCCCATTCCCAAAGGTACGTTTGCTGCGGGTCGGGGGTGGACCTAGAAATGAGCAAAGTGGAAGAAGCAGCCTTAGAAGATGAGGCTAAGCTCAGGAAACATCAGCGTTGGCTAAGGTGATGAGAAGGGAGGAAGCTTCCAATGATGGGAGAAGCTGGAGAATATTGGTTTGCTGCTAAGGCTAGAGGCTTCCTGACAGTCTCTGGCGTGGGAGTTGGAGACAGGGGAAAAGGGCAGAGAAGAAGCTCGCCTTTCCTTAGAGCAGCTGAGGTTTCTGGTACAAGGGATTTCTGGTGTATCTGAACAGCGAATAGGAAGGGATGGGGGGGGGCATGGGCTAACGCACGGGGGCAGGGGTGTGCTGTGACCGAGCTGCAGTCATTAGATTATTAGCTCTCTTATTCCCCGTCCTTTCTGAAATGGGTTGTTATAAGACCCACGAACCTCACTGTAGCTCTGGTTCCGTGGATCTGCTCTCTCCCCGGATCTTGGCGAGGATGGAGGGGGCTGGGGTCACAAACCAGGGCCATTGCTTGCTCCCCAAAACTGGTTGCAGAGCTTCAGGCTGAGCTGAGCTGCTTGCTTTGCGTTGCGGCTGTCTTTTGTGCTAAGGAGGCGGGAGGGTGGTTGCCGCTGACTGGGGCTACGCAGAGGTTACTCTCGGTCATCCACCTGCCAGCAGAGGTTGAGTGGCTGGTGCTGCTGATTCAGTCAGGAAATCAACATTTACCAAAGGAAAGAAAGAGAAAAAAAGTTGCGTGATTGGTTTCCATCTCATTGTCCAATCATTTTACACTGGAAATCTCCTCTCCTTAAAGAAAGACCATATGAGTCACTCCCTCGCTTGTCGGAGAACAGAGGGAAGAGGGAGAGAAGCTACACTTCCCCACGCAAGCTAGGCACAAAGACTTTTCCTGCCCAGCTGGCTGCCCTGCCCAGTCCCTCCTCTCTGTTTCTCGGGCCCTCAGGGCTCTCAGTTTAATGGGATGGAGGTGGCTTTTGCATTTTCCAACCTACAGGAAAAATTCGGAGCAATACATAGCCAGCACGCTTAACTAGAATACACAATGCTATTTGGCTCCCTGTGGAGGGCTCTAATCAAGCCACTATGAGGGTGATTTTCTAAACTATCTCCCCTTGGCCCTGACTTATTCTGGTGAATGGCCTACCAGGTCATTACCAGGTAACCTGGAATCGAAAGTGCGAGAGTAGAATTCTTGCTCTGCTATACTAGCTGTGTAACCTTGGGCAAGTCTTCATTTCTCAGACCCCTGGTGCCCTCTTTTGTCAAACGAGGCTGTTAGACTAGATGATTAATGGAGGCAACTTGGTGGAAAGAGCGCTAGTTCCAGTCAGAGGCCCTGAATTCAAATTTTAACCCAGGTGCTAACTACTTTGTGACCTTGGATAAGTCACTTAACCTTTGGAGACTCAATTTCCTCATTTGGTAAAATGAGGGGGCTAGATGGACTCTGGGATCTTTTCTAGCACTATGATCTGATGTGAGTCTACTACACACCTTATACTTACCTACAAAAAGTATATGTCTGAGGTCACTTCCAACTTTCAATCCTATAAGCTACATAAGTACTCTGAGGATCTATGGGATGGATTCGCTAATGCCTAATTTGGTGTCCTTATTTCACCCTTAACCAGTAGTTAAATGGCCATTAGTTAAAATCCAGGTGACTTTGAGCTCTTTCCTGGCTTGATTGGAATTGGAACCTATTTTATCTATCTCTAGAAACGGCTATGGGATTGTGTTGTTTAAAGAAGACCCAACTCTCCCTCTGACATTTTTATGTATGTGTAGTGGGGAGAGGATAAAAATACTTGGAACTGCTATTTTAGAATTGTTCCCATATCAAAATGTGTCACTTAACTAATCACCAAGTTTAAAGCCAAGTTACAACCTGGTTATTTATTTACAGGTGGTATTGTGAAAAACAAAACCAAACCAAACCATTGCCTTTCTTCAAAAAAAGACAACTATAGATTGTGGAATCCCCATAGTCCCCAAAGCCCAGAGCCATGTTTTCCCTTAGCACTCACTGTGTCTGGCATATACTAAACACTTAATAAAGGCTTATTGATTGATTGATTACTATGAGATAAGAAGGGTTTCTTTCAAATTGCTTAGGGAGAAATCAGGCTCTCCTTGGATCCTGGGGTACTAGGTAAAATTGTTTGCTTTTCCATGACAAGCAATTAAGAGGTACAAGAACTTAAGCTGGGGTTACAGTAGATATTAATGAAGAGTTCAAAGAACAAATGCATTATGTATGTGTGGGGAAAGGTGGAGGAACTATAGCTACATACAGAAGAATATGATAATGATGGCAGAGAAGTATAACATTTTTTAATCCACTCATTCCCCTACACTGTGTGTATTAATAAATATTTAATGTATTTGAGGGCTTCAGAAAGGCTGGACTATTTATTCAAACATTTTGAGCAGGTGCCTCAGAATTCTAAATGATGATTATCTGGAGTAGCACTTCAATTTCCTCTTTCAAAATCTCAATCTAAGCATGCATTTGTTGATCCTCTCCTTAGAAGTGATATTTTTCACATGCTTTCATATAGCTAGGTAGATGATTAATAATTTTTTTTTGGATTTGAAACATCTGAGTTAATGAGCAGATGTGATTCTGTCTGAAGAAAGGCTAGGAATAGCAGTATTTTTCCACAGTTACTGTACCTGATTTTTTCAATGTCCACATTGCTCCAGGAAGTGTCTTTGGAAACAGCATTGCCTCTTTCAGGCCACTAGGGTACAGCTCAATAAATTACCCTTTGGACTATTAAATGTCTCTCTGCCCCACCACACTGAAGCTTGAATGGAATAATACCCTTTCCAGAGAGCTTAATGTCCTGGTATTCATAGGGAGTAGCTCGCCCACATGCAGGATCTGGCTTTTTTTAAAAAGAGGTTATTGCTCAGCTGTTACAAATGTCCACTGGTTAGAATATACAAATAAACTTGTTATAACTAAAATTGGAAGAGATAGTTTAAGATGAAAAGAAATAAAGATCCATTGTCTGAATATATTTTAACCGGTACAATTCATTAGTCTATTTTTATTAAATAAACCATTTCTTATATATCTGTATTCCAAAAATAAAAATGCCCAGTTAAATAAGAACAAGAAAGATTTCAGTGATTTTTTTTTTTTGCACAGTAGTAGGATATAGAAAGATTTTGTTTAGAATTTTTTTTACAGGGGGTGAGGAGAGAGAAAAGACTTGTGATTTCAGATTGCTATCGCTATACCAATGAGGTGAGATGAAGGAGTTCCCCTCTACCAGTGCAAGAGGGTGCAGGCACTATAATTTACAGAGATTTGCCCAGGATCAGTCTGTATGTGTTAGAGGCAGGACTTGAAACCAGGTCTTCCTGACTCACAAGGCATCTCCACTAGGCCACAGTGCATACCTAAATATAGGATATTTAGGCAAAATAATAATAGAAAGGTGGTTCAATGGATGGTGTACTCAGCTTAGTTAATAAGATCTGGGTTCACATCTCGCCCCTGATACTAGTTGTATGACCCGGGCTAATCACTAGAACTTTTTGTCCCATAAGGATCTCCTTAAGATGCGTATTAAGTCATAATGGGTTCTAATTGTCCCTTACACTGGGAGTTCTATACTACCAAAACCACAGATAAATCTTGTATTTTACTTTATGTTTGTTTTTGAAACGCAAGTGGAGAATTCTTATAAACAAAGATACCGTTGCATAATCACGTTGTTAAAAAAAAAAGCTCCAATGATTCATTTCTCTGTATCTAATTAATTAATTAACCTTGCAATATCCATTTCATTTTCTGTTCAGTGATGGATCAAATAGTCCCAACTTTCCAAACCTGTTGGAAGGCTAGGGTTAAAACAGAAGGAGAATCTAGAGAGGGTCCTTGTCAAGCCACCTACCTCTAGGAGATAGTGACCATCATCCAGAGGGCTTGTATGCTAATTGGTATCAATGATGTCTAAGAAAAAGGACCTTACCACCTTCTTGACAGTCAAAACTGATAGATGCTGTCCTGAAAGTATTTGCTCTTGCTGGTATTTTTCATATTATTTGTCTAGTATGATTTATGTTGAGTTTGGCAATTTTATGAGAGTAAAGCAGCCAGCTTGGAAAGAAGTCCAGTTTCCCAGTCCAGAATCCATTTGTTTGCCCACACCCTAACCTCACAGACAAAAGTCCAGATGAAGTAGGCAGACTGGAAAGTCCTAGTGATAAAAAGGATAGGGTATATGCAGACCAGGGGAGGGAAGTGCTGTTTCTGTGCTATTGTTTTCAGTGCAAAAATGGCTAGGTATGCCTCTGGGAAGGGCTTTTGGAGCGTATACCCTGGCTACATGGCCGTTGTAAAATGGCCAATTTCCAATTCCCAAATGATCCCAGATCTATTGACATTCATCAGCTTAGCTTGTTGACAAAATGCTTTAAAGCTAGGACTTTTTCAGAAAAAAATAACATTAAATTTTGGGTTTCCTTCTTAGTTACTGTGAAATCAGATTTGAAAGGTAGGTTTTGTTCTTTCTTTTACACTTTACTAAAAAGAAAATATCTGCACTTCTCATTAGGTGGTAATTATTTTTTGGTAAAGCTTTTTTTTAAAAATGTGTCAATCAGTTAGTTGCACTTATTAACCACCTACTATGTACCAGACACTATGCTAAACAATATAGATACAAAGAAAGGCAAAACGAAACAATGATCTAATGGGAAAGACAACATGTCAACAACTGCAAAATATAAGTAAAGGGTAATATCAGAGGGAAAGCACTAAAATTAAGAAATCCTTAGAAAGGCTTCTTACAGAAAATAAGACTTCAGCTGAGACTTAATGGAGGCCAGGGAAGCCAGAAAGCAGAGACAAGGAGGGGGACAGCTTGGTGGCACAGTGAATAAGAGGTCTGTGCCTAATATAAGGAAGACTCATCATTCTGAGTTCAAATCTGGCCTCAGACACGTACTAGCTCTGTGACCCTGGGCAAGTCACTTAACCCTGCTTGTCTCAGTTTCCTCATCTGTAAAATGAGCTGGAGAAGGAAATGACAAACCACTCCAGTATCTTTGTCACAAAAACCCCAAATTGCATCACTGAAAAGTTGGACACAGCTGAAAACAACTGATGAGGAGGGAGAAGATGCCAAGGGGGGGGGGGGACAGACAGATAAATTCTTGGAGTCAAGAGATGAAGTGTCATGAGTGAGGAATAGCAAGAAGGTGAGGGACACTGAATTGCAGGGTATATGAAGGAGAATAAGGTGTACAAAGGAGTCAGGTTATGGGGGTTAAAGAGGGCTTTGAAAGTAAAACAGATTTTATATTTGATCTTAGAGGCAATAGGGAGTTACTGGATTTTATTTAAAAGGGGAATGATATGATCAGACCTGGGTTTGAAGAAATCAATTTAATAGCTATGCAGAGGATGTATTAGAGTGAGGAGAGACTTGAGGTAGGGAGACCAATCAGAAGGCAGTTGCAATTGATCAGGTTTTAAGTGATAAGGGTCTATAACATGCTAGTTGCCATGTCAGAGAAAAAGGGGCCTACATGAGAAATGTTTTGAAG